GGGCGCCGGCCCCGTCCAGCCGTCGGCGTCGAGGAACTGCCGCGTGAGGTGCTTCGCGCGGTGCCGCCTGCCGCAGCCGCTCATTTGCTGCAGCCCGTACCAACACAGGGAGAGGCGTGGGAAGCAGACACCCACGGAGGGAGAGAGAGAGAGAGAGGCAGCCACAACAAGGGCGTGACAGCTGATGTACACAACAGACCGGAGCAAACACAATCGCGTTAGGCGCACAAAGGTACACACAGGCATGCACAATGAAGAAACAACACACAATACAAAGGGAGCACAGACGGCGCGCTGCAGTTTATGCATCTAGGTGTTCAAATTCTTTCCCTATAACCCCATCTCTCTTTCTCTCACGGACCGCTCATACCCTTCCCAGAGAGAATCACATTCAATACAGTGCATCGCCACCCACACGGCTGAACGGAGAAGCACACAACAACAAAACCTGCACACACACACAGACACACACACGCATATATATATATATGCGAAAAAGAAAAGAAAATGACCCGTGAGGCCTAAGTGTGGATATTTGGAAATATGCGTGGTTCTGTATTGCGCCCACACACGCAAGGCCATCACACCCTATTCTCAAGAAGAAGCGTCTGTCTGCTGCATTCCTTCTTGCAAATGTATTCACCCAACAATGAAATGCCCACAGACGCACAACTACCTACTCACTCCATTATATCCTTTAGCAGCGCCATGTAAGCACAATATATGACGGCGCCACGGTGTCGCCATTCGTCCTCTGCTTGTCCTTCGTAAGTCGAAAACGGCAGTTTCTCCCGCCCCCCCCCCTCGCAGTGTTGGGGGTGGGATAAAGGACAGAGGTGCAAACAGAAGCAGAAACATAAAAAAGGACAAAAACCAATGGAGTGAAAATGGATGATTTGGAAAAAAAAAGCAGCTAGTGCGGAACGAGAGGGGCGACGCAGGACAGACGCCGGGTGGAGTGAAAAGATCACAACGACGATGACAAAAACAGCATCAACACCACCAAGCACAATAGTGATAAACAGCAAACAAGGAAAAATACAGCACACATAAGCGGCTAGATTGCGTCGCCGGAATAATATATATATATATATATATATATTATATTATATATGCCTCTGCTAGGAAGGGGAGAAACATCCTTCAACCCCCCGGCGGGAATGCCGTAAATATACACGTAAGAAGATGAGAAAGACAAAAAGAAACACAAAACGAGGGTTGTGCTGTACACAGAAGGGGCGAAAAAAGATGTTTGTGTATATGTGTGTTCGTGAAAACGCATGCGTCGGAAGGAACGTGCCCCTGTCTCCCATATGCATTGCTTTGTATACACAAACCGTTTGACTTTTTCCTTTTAAAAAGGAAAACCAAAACGTGTCTTTGCCCTTCTCCCCCATGCTTATTCCCCGTTCCCCATTCCCTTCTCTGGGCATCATCTGTCCCATTATTCCGTGTTGCTGATCCATAAACACACACACCACCCTGCCAGCATGGCGGCGCTACGGCCAGTCCCTGTACGGGTACGGGTTGAGCGCCGCGCCGCGTATCAGTCGCTCGCCCAAGCTCGCGTCGCTGGCGTCATCGATGACAGAAACGAGCAGCGTCATGTCGTCCTGCTTTCCGCCCTCGTAGTACGCGCCGCCGGCCACCGCTTTATGGGCATACGGCGTATCGGTGCGAATGTCTCGCGCTGCGCCGCGCGCCTCACGCATGACGTCCTCGGAACCGCTTGCGATCGCGTGCATCATGTCCTCAAAAAGCTCCACGCCTCCCCGTGGGCGCGGCGCAAACGGGGCGCCGCGCATATGCTTCATATGCACAGCACGCACCGGCGTCCACACCAGCTCCGCCACGCGGTGCGGGTACAGGTTGTCAAACACGCCGTCACTACCCAACAGCAGCATGTCCCCGACCTCTACAGGCACACGGTAGTTCAACGCGCGCTCGGGCGTGTCGCTGCTCCCTTTACCCAGCTGGTAAGGGAAATCTAGGTCGTGCGTCTGCTCATCGCTCACGAAGACAATCCGGCCGTGCCTCAGCACCATTGCCGTGCAGTCCCCCACACTACAGACATCTAAAATACAATTCTTGTAGCCATCCACGGGCTGCAAGGACGGCAATTCACCACTGCGTGGTTCCTGCAGAGTCGCCACCAGTGCCGTTGCTGTACCCTCAATCTCCTCCAACATGCACGCGTTGTATGCGTGCTGCATGACCTCAAGCGATGATGCTGGATTCTCACCAAACAAGTCCTCCTCAACGTAAGAATGCATCGCTTTTGCAAGAGCGGCGCTATACAACCCAGCGTCCACAGATCTGTTCGTCTTCCACCAGCTCACGCCATCGAGCACCGCTTGCACACCGACAAGAGACAGAAACGCGTCCTCCCCTCCAGTTTGCTGCTTCGCAGGATGCGGAAGAAATTGCACGCAGCGGTAGTAGAAGCTAAGAAGCCTCTCATCGCCACAGCCTAGCAGGCGTGTTGGTACCTGCATGAGGAGAAACAGATTAACAGTCTCCTTCCCTACTATCAATCACAAGGAATTAAGCACCAAAAATACACACACCAGCAAACATCAAGAAACAAATCCACCCAGACACACAACCAGCCACACCACAACATAAACCAAGCCAATGCAACACGAAAGACCACCAAGAGCGCTCACAGTGAAGCAAACAAAATATACTCACCAGCCTCTCAACGACGCGCAGACACAACACAAAACCAAGCTAAAAACGTGTCAGCCTCGTCAAGCTGCACGAAAAAAAAGAATAAAATACTTTCGATAAGTACACACACACATAACCAAAACTCATTCCACCCGCAACAAGGAGGCGGTAACAAAAACCACTACGCCTGTCCTCACATTGACGTAAGGCATCCCACTAGTGCATAAATCACTTCAATACTTCTTTGACGCTCTCCCAGCTGTTAGCGTTTAAAGACAATTAGCCTCGCTGCATAATTTTTTCGGCTAAGACTCCGCGGCCATGCATCTTCTCGCCACAGGCTTCTTGGCGGCCGGCTTCCTCACACTCTTCTTGGCGGCCTTCTTTGGGGATGCCTTCTTGGGCGACACCTTTGCGGGGGCAGCAACGTCAGCCATTTCCTTTTTTCTCTCGAGTAGTTAGCTGGGTCTTGGAGCACACTATTGGCGTCAGAACAAAACAACAGGAGGCAGACGGAGAGCGTGCAGTGCGGGCGACGTAGCCACACAGAGCCAAAGCTCAAATAAACAGAGCGAAAGGTACGNNNCTGCATGAGCGGCGTACACACGGTGGCGTGGCGGGAGCGACTCGCTACAGCCGCGCCGGACAACGAAAGAAACAAGAATCTAGTTGGAAGACACGAACAATGACACTGCGACCTCCCTGGATGGGAGGAGAGGCGCCACCTGTCAGGTGTGCCGGCGCACGCGACAGCAGCAGCGGCGGCAGGGCACATACATTGGAAAAGGATCCTACTTCTTCTTGGGTGCCGTCTTCTTTGCCGCCAGCTTCCTAGCAACAGC